CAGGCCCCCACTGCCCCTCTTCTGTGCTCTCCTCTGTGCGAATTCCACCAGAGCCTCCTCAGTGGGGTTTTCAGGAGTCTCTCCAACTAGATCCTAACTGCCTGGAGGGCAAGAACAGAGTCTTGGGCAGCTGTGCCTCCAGCACGTGGGTGGGGGAGCCCTGTGCACACACGCGGATACCTAGGCCCAGGCCTTCCCACCAATGGCAAAGCCAGCCCGCCAGGGCCTGGGGCCTGGGCGTCACAGGTCTGCTTCAGAGCAGGGTCTCTGGGAGTCACTTGGGAATCACAGAGCACTCTGCTGCCTGCGTCCTGCCCACCGAGTCTCTGATGGGCTGCGTGGGATGTGTGTGGCCTGGGCCTCGGGACACTGAAATCTCCCCAGGGATGCAAGTGTGCAGGTGGCACTGAGAGCCCCTGGGTTGGGGCGGCAGCGGTGACCCGGAAGTTTCACTCTCACTCGCTTTCATTTGATTCTCAGGTCCACCTGGCAGGTCTCCAGGGCAGACGCTATCATCTAAGCCAGTGGCTCTCAACTGGGCCGACCTGGCCCTCCAGGGGACAGATGGCAGTGTCTGGAGCAGTGGTTCTCAGCGTGGGGCACATGCCCCATGGGGGTGGGGGGTGGGGACTTGACTCATAAGGGGGGCAATTTGAGAATGAGTTATTCACAGTGAATTCTGTGCATTTCTTATGGTTCTAGGGGCCTCATAGATACTCTATGAATATATATTGGGACATATTGATGCATTTCAGTTCTTTATTACATATTTTGGAACTTTATTCGCTAGTTTTTCATATCACTTCATATTATTATTTTTTTAAACAATGTCTTAGTGATGTCTTCCTCAGGACTCCCACTGTCCTTTTGTTCTTTGATTTTTCTCTTTCATGGAGGCCATGTTCTTTGGAAGCGTGTTTAGACCAAGTGAATGGCCTTTTAGGCTTCTTCCACGTGACTGGAAGTTCACTTTTTGAAGAATCAGAATTCTATGTCACGGAGGGGGGCGGGCATCGGGATTTTAAGGGACGCTTAGGTGGGGCATGGCCAGAAAAAGGTTGCGAACCACTGGTCTAGAGCCGTGTCGGCAAACTGCGGCTCGCGAGCCACATGCGGCTCTTTGGCCCCTTGAGTGTGGCTCTTCCTAAGCCTTAGGAGTACCCTAATTAAATTAATCACAATGTACCTACCTAGATAGTTTCAGTTTAAAAACTTTGGCTCTCCAAACAAATTTCCATCGTACTGTTGATATTTGGCTCTGTTGGCTAATGAGTTTGCCGACCACTGCTCTAGAGACTGGCTTGGCTGTCACATCTGGGGGCGGGGGCATCTAGCGGGTGGAGGCCAGGGATGCGGGTAATCATTCTATGGTGCACAGGGTGCTCCCATCTCAAAGAGTTCTCTGGCCCCAATGTCAGTAGTGCTGACACTGAGACCCCTGGTCCTTGGTAACTGTTCGATTCACTTCCTGGACTCACAAATGATCCAGGGTAGCCCTCATCACTCACGGGATCTCTACTCTGGCCCCAGGGGGATTCCCCTTCCCCTGCTCCAAACCCAAACCAAAGCTGACCACCGCCACTCCTCTGCGCGGCCTTGTTTCAAGAAGGTTTGCCGGGCACATGAATGAGCCAAAGTGACTTCGCTTCATGGCCTTTTCTGAAAACGTGGAGATTTCAGGGAAAAGGAAATCGTTTTCTTTGTGCCTCCCTCCTTTGACAGGAATCAAAGGTAACGGCCTACGGTCAGGTTAACAGTTCACAAGAGAGGGTGAGGTTGCCAGAGAATCCGAATCGCACAGTTTCCTGTTTTTGAAGATGTACTTCAACGTCACCGAGAGCTTCAAAGACAGAAGTGGCTGTTCGCCAGAGCCACTCGGCGGGCCTTTGTGCGCTCGATTGTTTGATGGCCAGGGGTCAGAG